CGAGAGGAGCGAGAGAGAGGAGAGAGGACAGACCGGAGGAGGGGACGAGAGAGAGAGAGAGAGACAGACCGTAGGAGGGGACGGAGAGAGAGAGACAGACTGGAGGAGGAGACGAGAGAGAGAGAGAGAGAGACAGACAGACAGGAGGGGACGAGAGGAGAGACAGACCGAGGAGGAGACGAGAGAGAGGAGAGAGACAGACAGACAGGAGGAGGCGAGAGAGAGAAAAGAGAGAGACAGACAGGAGGAGCGAGAGAGAGAAAGAGAGACAGACAGGAGGAGAGGAGAGAGAGAAGAGACAGACAGACAGGAGGAGGACAAGAAGAGAGAGAAAAGACAGACAGACCGGAGGAGGAGACGAGAAAGAGACAGACAGACAGACAGAGGAACGAGAGAGAGAAAGAGAGACAGACAGGAGGAGGAGGCGAGAGAGAGGAGAGAACAGACAGACAGGAGGAGGAGACGAGAGGAGAAGAAGAGACAGACAGACCGGAGGAGGAGACGAGAAAGAGACAGACAGACAGACAGGAGGAGGAGACTAGAGAGAGAGAAAGAGACGACAGACAGGAAGGAGCGAGAGGAGAGAGAGACAGACCGAGGAGGAACGAGAGAGAGAGAGACATACTGGAGGAGGAGACAGAGAGAGAGAGAGAGAGAGACAGACAGACAGGAGAGGGGACGAGAGAGAGAGACAGACCGGAGGAGGAGACGAGAGAGAGAAAGAGAGAGACAGACAGGAGGAGGGAGAGAGAGAAAGAGAGACGACAGGAGGAGGAGGCGAGAGAGAGAAAGAGAGACAGACAGACAGGAGGAGGAGACGAGAGAGAGAGAGAGACAGACAGACAGACAGAGGAGGAGACGAGAGAGAGAGAGAAAGACAGACAGACCGGAGGAGGAGAACAGAAAGAGACAGACAGACAGACAGGAGGAGACGAGAGAGAGAGAAAGAGACAGACAGACAGGAGGAGGAGACGAGAGAGAGAGAGACAGACAGGAGGAGAGACGAGAGAGAGAGAGAGACAGACAGACAGGAGGAGACGAGAGAGAGAGACAGACAGACAGACAGGAGGAGACAGAGAGAGAGAGAGAAGACAGGAGGAGCGAGAGAGAGAGAGAGAGACAGACAGACAGGAGGAGGGGACGAGAGAGAGAGACAGACCGGAGAGGGACGAGATAGAGAGACAGACCGGAGGAGGAGACGAGAGAGAGAGAGAGACAGACCGGAGGAGGAGCGAGAGAGAGAAAGAGAGACAGACAGGAGGAGAGCGAGAGAGAGAAAGAGAGAGAGACAGACAGGAGGAGGAGACGAGAGAGAGAGAGAGAGACAGACCGGAGGAGGAGACGAGAGAGAGAGGAGAGAGACAGACCGGAGGAGGAGACGAGAGAGAGAGAGAGAGAGACAGACCGGAGGAGCGAGAGAGATAGAGACAGACCGGAGGAGGCGAGAGAGAGAGAGACAGACAGGAGGAGAGACGATAGAGAGAGAGAGAGACAGCACAGGAGGAGGCGAGAGAGAGACAGACAGACAGGAGGAGACAAGAGAGAGAGACAGACAGACAGAGGAGGAGACGAGAGAGAGAGAGGAGAGAGAGAGACAGACCGAGGAGGAGATGAGAGGAGAGAGACAGACAGGAGGAGGTGAGAGAGAGAGAGAGAAAGAGACAGACCGGAGGAGGAGACGAGAGAGAGAGACAGACAGACAGGAGGAGGCGAGAGAGAGAAAGAGACAGACAGGAGGAGGCGAGAGGAGGCGAGAGGACAGACAGGAGAGCGAGAGAGACAGACAGGAGGAGGCGAGAGAAGAAAGAGACAGACGACAGGAGGAGGCGAGAGAGAGAAAGAGACAGACAGGAGGAGGCGAGAGAGAGAAAGACAGACAGACAGGAGGAGGAGGTGAGAGGAGACAGACAGACAGACAGACAGGAGGAGGCGAGAGAGACAGACAGGAGGAGGCGAGAGAGACAGACAGGAGGAGGCGAGAGAGAAAGAGACAGACAGACAGGAGGAGGCGAGAGAGAGAAAGAGACAGACAGACAGGAGGAGGCGAGAGAGAGAAAGAGAGACAGACAGACAGACAGGAGGAGGCGAGAGAGACAGACAGGAGGAGGCGAGAGAGAGAAAGAGACAGACAGGAGGAGGCGAGAGAGAGAAAGAGACAGACAGACAGGAGGAGGAGTGAGAGAGACAGACAGACAGACAGACAGGAGGAGGCGAAGAGACAGACAGGAGGAGGCGAGGAGGAGGCGAGAGAGACAGACAGGAGGAGGCGAGAGAGACAGACATGAGGAGGCGAGAGAGAGAGAGAGACAGACATGAGGAGGCGAGAGAGAGAAAGAGACAGACAGACAGGAGGAGGCGAGAGAGAGAGAAAGAGACAGACAGGAGGAGGCGAGAGAGACAGACAGGAGGAGGCGAGAGAGAGAAAGAGACAGACAGACAGGAGGAGGCAGAGAGAGAGAGAGAGACAGACAGACAGGAGGAGGCGAGAGAGAAAGAGAGAGACAGACAGGAGGAGGAGGTGAGAGAGAGACAGACAGACAGACAGGAGGAGGAGAGAGAGAGACAGAGAGACAGGAGGAGGCGAGAGAGAGACAGATTTCTTTGTCTTGGTAGTTTTTCTGTCCTTTGACCTCCTGATAGTTGAGTTGGCCTCATTAGGAAACACTGGACTCTACATGAAGTCTTATCCCTGTTTACAGTCAGACAGCTGGTCATTTAAAGGTTTTTCATCAGCGTCACTATAATAAAAGTAAAGCCAACCAACGCTGTTACACACCGATGTCTTTTTGGCTGTGTGGAGCAAAAGCATGAAGCTTATTTGAAGCACCAGTAGAAGCAGGCTGATATTTACCTGACCTCTACATCAGGGTTCCTCAGCAGACACTGTGGGGGCCGGACTTTCAGAAATAATTGCCATATTACTGTGTAATATTTTCAACTTTCACAAAGTGAACGTTTTAATTAGCTTATATCAGTGTGAACAGACTCCTTAAAAATATGCTGCTGCTTTACTCGCTGCAACATTTCAAACCGTCCGCCGTCAGAAAACTGTTGAAAATGACGCGTTTTTGATGAACAGCAGCAGTCAGCGCTGATCTCACTTACAAACAGATTGCATTTCCTGTGACTACTACTTCAAAATAAAAGCCAACTTGTGTTTTGCAAGTTAAATGCTTTTAATGTGAAGCTGCAGCAGCAGGAAGTGTTCAGGTTGCAGTAACTTCACGCAGCATGTTTCCACAGCTTACACTGCTCATGATAAAGCTGTTGTTCTCTTGCAAGTGTTTCTTTGTAGAGTACAATACTTTCAACAAAACATACTTAATTAAAAGTAAGATCACAGCAACGTGAGTAGTTGTAATTCGTTACTTTCCACCTCTGGTTTTCTCTAGACGGATGGATTGGTGGGTGGGTGTTAAGACAAATGTCAAGGGTTAAATTGATTTGGTTGTCATTTTTTTCGTAGCTTATTAATTATTAAATTATTTCCTCAAATACCAATAGCTGCATTGATGGGAGATCAGCTGAGAGGGCGGTCCTGAGCTGAGAAGTTCACGTGAGGTGGCTAAATATACTAGCTGGTTCATTTTAAGAGCTGCGCTTAAAGTTGAATTATCATCATTAGTATTAATCTTAACTCTTTATTTATCTGGATGGGATTAATAACTCTATTGTGGATCATTTGTTTAATTTCAGTCACAAATGCTGGCAGTGAAATAAGTGGAATATTATTTAAATAAGATCCAGACGAGGTAAAGAAATGTGGACTAATAGTCACACTTTTTTTACTGAGCTGATGTGTTTCAACCTATTAAACTCCAACAAAATGATGTACGATTTACAACTGATGTCTGTGGAACACATTTGGACAAATAAACGCCTGCCTTGATTAAACGCCTGGTCTGGTTTTTATAGGAGTTCTTTGGATGTATAAAACCCCTTAAGCCCCGCGGGGTCGCCGCTTCTAAGCCGCTCAGATCGTTAATACAAATATTAATGTTTAAAGGTATGATAAGTATGTCAGTGTGGACACGCTGCACATCGTTGGATCGCTTAGATTCTCCACTATTCAGTCGTTCAGTTCATTTAACGCAAACAACGAGCCACAAAGTCTGATTCTTATAGATTTACTGCTGTAACCTGAGAGAAATAAGCGCCGACTCCCGTTACCTTTGAAGCGCTCGTTAAGCCCAAATGTGTCCGTTCCTTGATTATTTTCAGTTTTGTACAAAAGGAATTAAAGTCCCAAATATAGGCGGGGTAAATTCAGTGATTTTAGCAAATACGTTGTTTTCCTTTAGACTCTAGGGGTAACGTGTCTTGCTCAGGGACACATTGGTGTCTCACAGTGGATTCAAACCCGAATCTCTCGCACCATGTGTCTTATCCACTGCGCCACCACCAAAGCCCGGGCTATTAATCCAAGTTTTACAGTAAATTCTAGCAAAGAAGATTTTAAAGGAGCCGAGTTGTGCAAGTGTCCTCTGTCATCTCCTGAATCTTTTTCGAGTTTTTAAGGCAGTCACTGAAGCCAAACCCCAGATAACTCGACAGTAGAAGAAGGGGGAGGTGGGGGGAGACGGGGGGAGACGGGGGAGAGGAGCTGAAAGTGAGGAAAGGTTGCGAGGTGAAAACATATGACGTGAACAGATGGATGAAAAGTGCAGGAAGAGGCTGAGTGTGAGGAAGAGCGGGTGTGAAGCTGACGCTCCCTCAGAAATGTGTTTCCCTCGGCACCCGTGGCGTCAACGCAGATCTCCCATAATGCACCGGGGCTGAAGATGCTAATAAGGAAGTCGGGCTGTGGTGTGATTCCGAGCCGAGATACTGAAAATAACGTGGCTTGTTCAGGCGTGTTTTTAGTTGTTACCGAGCAGCCAGTTAGCTTAGCATAAAGACAGTTTCCTGTCTTTATGTAAGAGGCTCTCACTGCTCGCTGTCCCTTCATCGTTACGTCCTCACAGACCCAGAATAACCAGCTTTCTCTCTCTGTGTCGCAGCCGACCAGCGAAGAAGACCTCTGCCCCATCTGCTACGCTCACTCCATCTCTGCCGTCTTCAAGCCCTGCTCCCACAAGTCCTGCAAGTGAGTCCTCACACACACTCCTACACCAGCTTTCATCTGCAACACCCCACACACACATTTCATCTCCAGCCTCCTCGCTCACAAACAGTCCTGCAGAACCTGGAGCCAGAGGTTCTGTTGATTTCTGTCCAGCTTCTCCTTCTCCTGTTGCAGCAGAGTTACACAAGTCCGTGTGTTGTTGTTCTCACATGTGGTCAAAGAGAGCTTGTTCTCCACGCAGTAAAGAAACTTAAAGTTAAAGGAAAAAGTATATATACATTTTCATCTACGGGCCGATAATCTCACACAAGGAAGAGTTTATTTATATAAATGTGTGTGTGTGATGGAGGGAAGGCAACATCTGCTCGTTTAAATGAACACCTGCATGTTTACGGAGTCAAACGTCTGCAGGTTTAGAGAACAAAACATTATTTTCCAACTGCCAACTAGAGCTGAACGACTTTGGAAAATACTGTAATTGCGTTTTTGTTTTTTTTTTTACCAATATTGCGATTACGATTTAATATGCAATTTATTTTTAAGCTCTTTACCTCCAGTATTATTCAAAACGGACAAGCAGTAAATCTGTGTGTAGTCTGACCAACACAATATTAGATAGATTAAACAGACACTGTTTGAGAGTGTGTGTTTGATGAAATTAGGTGATGCGGGTTCAACCACCAGTTAATGCGTCCTGATCTCAGTTCAAATCTCCCAGGAGTCCATCTTTCTGTATCCCGGTAAGCAAACCAAAAATACTCAGTTTGAGGTTCAATTCAAAAGTTGGCCAACGAAAATAAAACCAAGTGACGCCTCTCGTGTTTAATAGACAAGCGAGTAAAGAGCGTAATCGCAGCCTTTGCGATTAGAAAATCTCGTTATATCGCAAATGCAATTTATCGTTCAGCCCTACTGCTAACGTCTCTCTTTGAGCTTTTCTTTTGACTTGCTCGATGCTCCGATGGGCGGAGCCTGACTCGACTGTCAATCTCCCAGTCGAAGCTTCACAGCGACGTTATGAAACGAGGATCATACAGTTTTGGCGATATGGGGGAGCTCAATGTCTGATTTTAAGTAGAACTACCAGTTTTCTCCCAATAAGTTAATATACAGCCTGTTCCAATAAACATTTCAACGTTTAAGGCTGTAAATAATCGCCGCTCACAGACAAACGTGATTGGACTATCAGGAGACTATAGGCAAGACTTGACAATTCTGATTCGACTATGTAAATCCTTAGTCTGGGACAGTCCTGGTCTAGAGATTATATTCATTTAGATCAACAGTCAGTCTCACCCTCTATGTTGTTGGTTAATTTTAAGTTAATTTCTTAAACTTTGATTAATCTACCGATTTTCAATGATTATTCTAAAGATAATTTTTATTACCCAAAATAAATGTCAGAAACATGTCTCATTAATAATTCAATATTTTATTCAATGCAAAAGAAAGTTCATGTGAATAATGATAATAAAGGCACATTTTAAAATGTCTCACTGCTGTGTGACGATATTATCATCAATAATAATAAAAATTCGTTTCCTGAGAGACCGTCTTCTTTAACTTTTAATATGTCTATTCAAAAATCTATTTGCACGTATTGTAATCAAATATCTTCCCACAATCAAAGCTTAATTGTCAAACGGTTTAAGCGTTCTTAGTTTTAAGCATTTGATAAAAAGGAAAACAATTGTGTTAAACCTTAAGGTCAGCATTTCATAGGAACTAGCTTTCTGGATAATATATCCTACTTAGAGAATATAAGCAAGATACACGAATGGCATCAGATTATGAACAGGTTAATACAGAGAGACATTTATACATTAAACGCATTTCAGAATGATGCCATGTAATACTTATTTTGTCCTCTTGGGGGAGCTCTGGTTACATGAGGAGTAGATATTTAACTGGAAGCTGGTTATAAACACGAGCGTGCGGATGAATGTTTTAGTAGGAAATTGTATGTGAAACGTTTAACTAAAGCATTAGTTAATACTTACTAGGGAATAACAGGGAGGAATTAAAACAAAAAAAAGAAAATTAGGTCTCTAGTTTTCAAACGTCACTAAAGGATAACAACAGGGTCATTACTACTAAACTCAGAGGCAAACGCCACGACTCACTTAGCAAGGGTTATTATTTAAACAGAACAAACACGGTTTACAATGAAACCTTTGTTGGCTCAAGAAGGCAGGGGTTGTTAGTTTCCCTCCTTTCACAAATCTGGCTTATCACCTTTGCACATCGGCTAAAGAGAGAAGGGAGTGGTGTTTTATGGGAAAAGGAATCAGGTGTCTCCTCCTCCAGGGGAGGAAAACTCTCCCTTCTTTTGGCATGATCTGACCTCACCTTCTTTTTGAGGTGAGAGGCCGGTTGATCCCACTTCATTGTGCAAATCAACGTATTTTAAATTGACCCAGAGCCGTTAATCTTATTAATATACAAGACATAATATTTAAGTCCGACAGTTTGTCAGTAACAGTAACAAAAGGGTTGTGGCAATAAATCGCCACTAGCTGAGTTACAGTGAGACATAAAGGACTGCGGGTCCTTCATGTCCATGATTGTCCTCTGAAGCTCAGCCAAAGGTGTTTTTAAGAACCTTTACTCATTCAGGAGTCCAGTCTGTCGGCCTTAGTACATAAAGAAGAAGTAGAACAAAGCTCTTCAAGCTAATATAAAGTAACACAATCAATTAATATTCAACTAAGATTTCCAGTTTTCTTCACCTTTTTCGCGACGTGACTCAGAGAGAAAGTCATTTTTCCCATAAACTTAAATTTCCTCAACTATTTCTGTCATTTCGTGGACTGTTGGAGGCTCCTGATTTCCTGCTTATTGCTTTTTTACTGCCTGCTGATACTGTTTGTGAGAGATATCTGTCCTGCTTCTTCAGCCCAGCTGGCAAGTTTCCCAAATACATAACACTAAAACAAAAAGCAAGCCCGGGGGTCAATGATTAATCTTTTCTCTGTTACCGCCGTCTAATGGATTCTTAATTCATTACTAACGGTGATTAACTGACACAGAAAAAACATTTAGAAAATATGAAATTAACAACACTTAAACACATTATGTCTCTTTTTACCAGTTAAAACTTTTCTTCACGAAAAGGTTTTTAAACAAGCAGAGGTTCATGCTGCGTCCTCTTCCCTTTCACACTCAGCCTTCGAGCCGACGGCGCTGCCTGAAGGCCTCATCGATCCAAACAGCCGACACACACACGGACATAAAACACATGCATGCAACATCTCAGAGTACATTCACACACTCTGATGTCTAAGTAGTTTCTGCACGGGGTGAGTCAGCTGTTTGGTAACTGCTGATTGTGGCTGAAAAGCTCTGTGGGCAGCAGACCTTGGTCCAGATCGTACCTCGATACATATTTCATGTTCTCCTGGAGGTGCGCTTGATTTAGCTTAGCTGGCACGCCAACTCAGCAGTTGTATGGATTATTCTGTTGCTGATTGAGAGCGCTGTCACGAGGAGTAAACCGTGCTGACCTGAGCCGATTCTGGTCACCGCCAAGGCCGAACTCATTTTTACCTCTGCACCCTCTAAGCTCCCTCAGTTCTCAGTCACTTTACTGCTCCTTGTAGTAAAGCAGAGGGAGATGTCCCCCGTTAGTGTGGAAACCAAATTTAAATGTTGTTCTTATACAAAATACCCCAAAATAATTACATTTGCTAACTGTAGTTACCAATTAGGTAACCAATTGCTCCAAGTTTGAAAGGCTACTAGATTTATCAGAGTTGACTTCTTGTTAGGGCTGGACAATAAAACAAAATTGATTTTATTCAATTGAATCATACACAAATTAAGACATAATTGTTTATTCTGTTGAGGGAAAAGGACTGAAAAAGGTTTTACTTAATTTTACTTAAAGATATTTGTTGATTTTATCATCATTGTTTTGAATGTTCTACCTCAGATTTGTGAAGTGATCCACTGTTTGGCATCAAGTGTTGCCCATAAAGAAAAGTTTAAACCACAACTAACCATCAGGTTTCTTCAACTTTCACTCAGGAGCAAAAATCAGCCTTTAAACTCGAAAGAAAAAACGATTGGATACTTACCGTGATAATTATCGATATCGAAAGATATGAAACTTTTTATCGTGATAACATTTTTGACCGTATCGTCCGGCCCTACGTACCGCTAACTTTCACAGTGGTTCAGTGAAGAAAGCTTCACTCTCCAATCTTGCAAATTATTCACACATCTGACTGCGAATAACGTGGCTTCAGTTATTCCAGACGAGCTTCATACCAGTAACAGACTGACCTCTGACCTCCATGTACAGGAGACGGTTCACCTCTGATGTTTATTAAAACGATGTTTCCCTCTCTGCTCAGAGCCTGTATCAACCAGCATCTGATGAACAACAAGGACTGTTTCTTCTGCAAAGCCACCATCACCGGGGTCGAAGACTACAGCAAGCCCGCCGCCTCCTAACACACACACACACACACACACACACACACCACTGAACCCAAAGATTTCTCACAGAGGTCTGTACTGTATGTTTGTTTTGGATTCTCCACAGAACGTCTTCTCGCTCTAACTTAAGAAACATTGAGGGTTGAGATTTTGGAGCCGTTTGTCCCGTTGTTACCTTTACTTCTGGTTTGGGAGGAAGTTAGCGAAACAAACACTGTGTGTGAGTGAATGTGTGTTACGACTAAAGTCACGTGTACTGTACAGAGAAAAATGCGGAATTACTGTCAGAGACGAGACGTTGATGTGCGAGACTGAAAGCTGAGGCAGGAGCAGGATATTATCGGACATGCAGAGTGTCTGATAATATCGGTGTTGGTCACATACATGTATTTAAACACGTTACAAGCGCCGGTTCCCACCATGGGTTAGGACCCCCCTAATGGGTCCCAAGATACATCTGAGGAGGTCGTAAGATCATTTAAAGATTCAAATATTTTTCCCCGGCTTTTTAAAAAAACACAAATTGAAACAATCTGACAAAATTAAACCGTCTTTCTGGTGTGTTCAGATTTAAACGACACTAAATCTCTGGTGTCCAACACATCTGTAAGATTTAACTCCCCACACATATATTACAATAAATACTTTTGTTTTGCAGACACCCTCCTTGGGTTTTTTACTCGCGGGGGATGCATCTAAAATTGCACATCTTAAACAGTCGGCCTGATGGTCGCATGTCTAAAACCGGACAGACGCTGTACAGACGAAGACTGTTCAAGGTCACGACGTCTGATTAATCTGATCGGTTGGTTTTCGGGCAACGTCGTGAATTAATAAAAATGTACAGTGTCTGCTCGGCTGAAAACATTCACACCTGCAGATCATTCGGATCCACTGAGGGAGGAGGACGAGAAACATCCTGCAGGAAGACCTCAGTTTGACCAGTTTAAATCGATCACCTTCCTGCTAGACTTGCCAATAGATTTTACTTCCCAAGTTCTGTGATGTTGATACACAAACACAGATTTCTATTATAAACAGCTGATGCAGCAGTGAAAAAAAAACACACAGTTTCTGCTGTTTTTTCTTACCTAGAAAACAGGACACACACAAACATGTCTGCGCTGTGACAAACAATCACGATGTAGAGAGACGACAGGACTCTGTGTTCTTAGTACAACAACAACAACACACAGTCCTGTGGCACTAACTTTGTAGGGTCTCGTTATGCATTCAAGAGCTGGCTGTCATAGTAACACAACAAGTCACCTGTAGCTGTCAGTGCAGGTACACAGTTATACAAGCCCTTACAGGAACAGGATGGCAGGCCTAGACCTTTACCTACATGCTGGAACCTGACATGAACCCTAAAACCAAGTCTTGACCCTCAGAAAGCACATTAAAATTGTGGGGTCCAGCATTTTGGACCCCACAAATACAGTAAAACAAGCTTTTCACACACACACACACACACACACACACAGGCTAAACTGAAGCGGCCAAACAACTCCCCAATAAAATAAAAAGTCCTCCATGGGAGGACAGCAGCGTCCTTGAGTGAGAGAACTAGCTGTCAAATTAGCACAACAATTCACCTGTAGCTGTCAGTGCAGGTACACACACACAGCTACACACAGCTACACACAGCTACACACACTCCTCTACAAGCCCTTACAGGAACAGGATGGCAGGCGTGTGCCACACAATAACACATACAGGCAGGGAACATGAAAGCTCATACCTCACCCCACCTGTGGATGGATGGATTACTGAACGGGCCCACCAGGTACGGGGGGGGGGATCAGACAAACTCACAGAGACACAAAACTTTGTTGTCGTTTTTTTTGTCTCTGGGGGTCTTGCTTCTGTCTGGGGGGCCCGTTGTCTCACAAATCCATCCGTGACCCCGGCCTACAGGTGCGCAAATACTTTCACACAAACGTACTGTAAACATGATCAACACATTACAGGGAGTACAGCCATTGTTACTTAGAAAACACACTTTAACAAACGCTGTTTCATCACACTTTAAGTCCCTCATACGCTGCTGGAGAGAAGTAATGTGACAAACTTGTTTCTAGAGTTAAACATGTAGTGAAATCCTCTTCTCTTTCTTACAGTGAATATGAAGCTACGGCCTGCTTGTCTTAGCTTAGCATAAAGAAAACAGGGAAATAACCGGCTGTAGCTTCAGAATTTTTCTCCCTCAAGTATTAAAACGATTCCTGATTGACTTTTTAGTTGAAACTGCTTTGATGTACCTGAACTTTCCACTGTGTGAATCCGATAAATGTCCATCACGTCTTTAGAGAAACCTGCAGAGCTTTTCCACAGGCTAAAGGGACAGTTCACACTAACAGAAACCGTTTTGTCTTTGAGAGACTTTAATTTATTTTGGGAACGTGGAGAAACCTGGCTGTTACCTTTTGGGTGTTGAAGTTATTGGGATCTTTAAGAATGTGTCTGTTTATAATCTTCATTTCACTGAAACTGAACCCACATCAGATTTAAACTCCCTGACTAAAAGTGTATGTTGGAAAACAAGCGGGACACTTTCAGATCATGACTTGGATTATTTCCTGTCCTGTAGGTTGTCCTGCACGTTTGATGGTGGTAAATATGTTTGCTTGACGTCTGTAAGCAGTGTGAAGACTCAAACGAGACTTCTCCAGGAGGATGTAAATCACTGCAGCAGATAGATTGAATGTATTTTAAATGTTGGATTTAGTGTTTTTAAACGCATCTAAAAGCATGTTGAACAGTTCACAGATTGTTTGTTTTCACTTTTATTACTGGTGTTTGTTAAAATCTGTCCAAAAACTAATAATATTTTTGGCCCTCCAAAGCCCCGAAGAGTGAAGCTCCAAAAAATATTTCTGTTTATCTGGTGTTACGCTGACAAATGAATGAAATACAACTAATATTCAAAACCCACAGAGGGAAGCAGAGAGATGTGCGCGCCGAGGTTTTGTTAGAAAGTTTGATTAAAGGGCTGTCAGACTGGGAATGTGGATGGACATGAAATCAATAGCATGCTCTCAATTGTCCTCACTGATATCTGTGTGTTTGTTTTCCCTCACTATATAAACTGATAGCGGTACTTATATTCAAAGCATGTATTTGAGTGAACAGAGTGTTTATTTGTGCAGGTTTACAGAGAGCTGGGGAAAGCAGTTTGAAGGCTCAGCAATATTACACAGACTGTTTGGTTGTTTCTGTTTACCCATGTATCTTAATCTGGGGGGGGGGGGGGGGGTGGACAGGCTTATTGCTTTCTATTTCTCCTTTGTGAGTGAGAGTGCACATATTATATTGACAATGTAACTGCATTAAATTATTTAATCTAAACTGACAAGCTGCTCTGTGTGCTCTTCTTTTTGGAGGGGGGGGTGAAAATACACACAGTAAATGTTTTGTACTTTTATAACAACTTTCACACAGCGAGAAACACAATCACACTATTTGGGGTTCAGTATCTTCAGCAGACTGGAGGAACCGAACACACACACACATTTATACTTCTACACACACACACATTTATACTTCTACACACACACACACACACATTTATACTTCTACACACACACACACACATTTATACTTCTACACACACACACACACACACATCTA